CAAATACGTATGGCTAAGGAAGACCGGTGGAAGACGACTTTCCGGTCCGTTCTCGGACTATTCGAGTACCGCGTGATGCCCTTCGGCCTTAAGGGTGCTCCCGCTACGTTCCAGGCCAATACTAATGCCTATCTACAAACCTTTATTGGGACAGGGCGTTGTTGCGTACCTAGATGATGTACTTATCTATAGTTCCGATCTCTCTGGGCACGTTTCTTTTCTGCGACAAGTCCTAAGCATTTTTCTTAGACACCAGTTCCACCCAAAATTCCGCAAATGCAAGTTTGAAAGGCAAACAATTACATATTTGGGTTATACAATTTCTGCTACGGGGATCAAACCCGCAGAAGATAAAATCGCAGCCATCCGGCATTGGCCAGAGGTGCTGGAGAACGAAACGCAAGTGCGCCAGTTCCTCGGTACCATAAATTGCTGTCGCATGTTCATGGGACCGGACTATGCGGACGTTGCCCGGCCGCTGGTTGATCTAACGCGTAAAGACGTCAGTTTCGAATGGACAGAACTTCACACGCAAGCGGTGCGCCAGCTCAAACAGCGCTTAATCGACTTCACTACATTACAAGTCCCTGACACGACGAAACCCTTCGAGTTATACACAGATGCCTCTGGTTATACGATCGGAGCAATTCTCGAACAAGACGGTAAACCCATCGGCTTCCTCAGCCAAGTCATGAACCCCACGCAACAGAGATACTCGATCTACGATCAGGAACTCTTGGAGCTGGTCATGGAGCTGGACAAGTGGTCGCACTTGCTCCGTGTCTCCAAGGTAACGGCTTACACTGATCATCAAGCTCTAACCCATCTCCAACGACTCCAAGCATCGAAGCCTCTGCGCAGACGCACCTCCCGGCGGTTAGACTTTCTTGCGGAGTTCCCGGATTTGCACATCTCTTTTTTTCAAGGCGCACGCAACCAAGTTGCCGACGCCTTGTCTCGCCGTCCCTGCCTTCCTAACACCTGCTCGCACGACACACCATCGGTACCGCTGGTGCTCGCAATAGGACAAGCGAGCGCGGCTCCCCGCTCTCGTGGTCCGCCTCCCAACTACCGAGAGCTCGCCGGAATTCGTCCGCGACGACCTAGACGGCGTAGCATGCCGTTTGCGTCTTCACCTGCGCCGCCGGAACCCAACCCAGAGCCGGAACATCCTACACTCACAGCGAAGACACCAGCTGACCCTCCTGATGTGCGCCAATGGCCGCAAGCTTACTCGAAGTGTCCTGCTTTTCGCGTTCCCTACAGAGCCGCAGCAAACCAACCGGGAGAAGCTCTGCAAATCGAGTTTCGTAACCGCCAGTTCACCTTCCGCTACGTGCAGCCTTACCTGCACATCCGCGTTCATGGACTGTGGCGTCCCACAGTTCCCTGAGTTTCTTACTCAAGTTCTGCATTCACATCACGACCATATCACAGCCGGCCATCGAGGCCAGAAGAAGACCTTTGCGGCTCTCAGCAAGCACTACTACTGGCCAGGAATTCGCGCCTACACTACTGCTTGTGTTGAGTCATGCGCTCACTGTCGAGCGTCAAAGTCTTTTAACCAGAGGCCTGCAGGCCTTCTTCAACAGTTGCTCATCCCTTCAAGTCGATGGGCGCACGTGAGTCTCGACTTTATCACAGATCTTCCCCTTACAACGACAGGGCATGACTTGATCCTTGTCATGGCCGATTCCCTAAGCAAGATGGCTCATTTCGTTCCTGCAAAGAAGTCATTCACAACAGCAGACACCATGGAGCTTCTCGCAGACCGCCTTATCCGCTATCACGGTTTTCCAGAGGTGCTCATATCGGACCGCGACTCCCGTTTCCAGTCGGCTCTTTGAAACCAACTCTGTCGCCGCTTTAACATCAAACGGTGCATGCCCTCTCCCTACCACCCCCACAGCGACGACCAAACTGAAGGGGTTAACCGCACACTGGAGCAGATGCTTCGTACCTATATCAAATCTGACGAACGCGAGTGGGAGCGTTTGCTTCCGGCCTTGGAACTTGCCTACAACAC